ATACTCATGCACTCTCTCATTCATTCATTCGATACGTTGTCATCTCCCCTACACTGGATTTGAAGATAGCAGTCGTTAGGGAGTTCAGTCTCCAGTGGCAGAGAGCCAGGGAAATCTGCAGCACGCAGGGAACGGCTGGATCTAGGAACCAGAGCTTTACATTTTCCAGGGGGCACAAATTCCTCTAGAGCAGGTTTTCTTCAGTCTGTCTTATGGTAGCACAGTATGGGGTGTTTGTTGAGCAGCATAGTAAGGGGTGTTTGTTAGACCCATACACGCCAGGCCCTACTCTCAGCACACAGAATCTGAAAACATACCAAAGGGACCCGTGCACTACATTTTTAACAAGTGCCCGGATGAGTCCAATCAGCGGGCAGGGCAGGGCTCCGGTCTGCCAACCAGGTCCAGAGCTTGCCCCCTCTCACTGGCCTCTTTCGATGGCGAGGCCCCACGCAGCCTCTTGTCTGTTTAGGTAAGAGCTCAGGTCAGCACTTCTCAACGCAGAGTGAGCAGAAGCATTACCTACGGAGTTTCCAACCGAGTGAGAAGCCGGGGTCTCCCCCAGACCAACTACATCAGAATCTCTCAAATCGAGGCCCAGGGCATTCTTTCTGTGAAGTTCCACTGGGGATTCTGATGACAGCCAGCGCTAAAGACAACTCAGGGTCCTTTCAGAACCCTCGGGGAGGACCCTGGCCTGTCATGCTAGAGGAGAGGCTCGGGAGTTCCTCTCGAACCCAGGACACACGGTGTCACCGTGCTCACTCTCCTGCCATGTGCCTGCCCAGTAGCTAAGATTCTGGTAGAGAAAAAAAAAGACAAATGCCTCAAAGGTGTTATTAATATAACACAGACTGCTCTGACACAGCGGGACTCACAAATTCTCCAAATTCTCCATCAAGACATATTAAGCAAAGGAACTGGTGGGTCTGTAACCTTCGTGCCTGATTGCATGTGCCCCACTCCATGTCAGCCACACAGAGTCTCAGCCATCCCATGATCTCACCCAAATGCCTTTGCGCCCATCTACACACCTCTTCGCACAGTTGTCCTCACAGTATTGCCTTGTGCTTAGCTGAGCCTCACTCCTTTGCCCGTGGGGTTGGGGGAGAGCTTGTCCTGTAGCCACGCGCCCAGCACGTGCAAGGTCTTTCGGGACACTTGCGTGCACGCTCGACACGCTCCTCAGAGCCTCTCCTCACGTGAGTGCATGGGGTGGTGGGCATGACCTTGAGGAGACCAGAAGAGCACAGAGACTTCCCTGAAATGTCATGTCCAGGCACACAGTCTTCTGAGGAACCCAAGTCACCCAATGCCAAAAAATACAGGCGATTAAACAATGTTCCATCAACAGCTCCAGTGCATAGCCTCAGAGTCTTGTACTTTTCATAATGGATGTTTCTCCCAAGAGTTTTGGAAATACTTTGATATGACTCTTGTTAGGCTTTTATTTTCTATCCTGTGCAAAAATAAGGAGCGAGTCTGGAAGCAAGAGGAAATGAGCTCTCTCCTTGCGAGTAGATTCCTATGGCACTACTTAAAAATCTGCACAGCAAGCTAGATGCTAATAGCTCTCGGTTATGTTTGCCTAATGACGCCCAGGCCCTTACAAATCCATCATGAGACCCTCTGCCTCCCCTTTTAATTACTATGCTGTTCTTTAAAAAAAAAAAATCAGTAATGTTTTGGATTCAACATGTAAATTGCCAGGTAACTTAAAAGAAACACTGGTAGAGAGTTCTTTCCTTAATAAGGTCAAGCTTGTTCCCATTATTGTTTATAATAGCTTTCATGTTCCTCTGAATTTTATTTCATTTTCTTAAAATATATGAAGGGGGTGTATTTTGGTGTTCTTGGATCAATCATAACTGAGAAATTACATTCGAGGTACTAGCACTTAATTGCACATTAACTGTAGTTTGGGTATCTTTGTGTTTCTCAAGTATATCTTGCAGAGTGCTGAAAATAATTCTTTTATGGAATAAGAAGACAGAGAGCACTGGGATGCCTAGAGAATAGATACTGATGGCATTATTCAGTATTTAGTATTTTCATATTGGATTAATTTAGCAGCTTGTTTTTTTTTTTTTTTCTTTCTCTTTTTAAGACCATTTCTTGAACTTGTCTTCTATTTTCACCTATTTTCACCAGAATCTCCAACCAGACAGAGGACATCCCCTAAGGTATGCATTGTACTGAGAAAAGCACCAGTCCAGCCTCGGGGCCTCCTTGTCGCCCATAATCTCAGGCTGTTGATACCTGAATGTGTTTTCCAGTGACTTGGACCATGGTCCTCTAATCTTCTTCTGTTTTTAATGCATGGTTATCAAAATGCATATTCAGTATATGCTTTGAGGCACATGAAATACACATTCAAAATGCAATATTCATTACCAAAAGGAAAAGGTTTAGTCGAACGCATCCTACAAATAACGACAGTGTTCCTCTTTTATCTCTTTCCAGCACCAGTGCAGCTTCATTGTGAAATCCAGGTGCAGTCCTGAAGTCACTCTGTCTTCGGTTACTACAGAAAGGCAGTCTATTAACTAAAGCCCAAGGATGGAGTACATGTCTTCCATTAACCATTTATTAAGTCAACAAGTTAAGTAATGACTACATTTTTTTCTAATATGCCTGCAGTGTGATGCATTTAGCAGTATTATTCCTTGGGCAGATGTGTCTTTTCAGAGTCTTCTCTCTTTCCTATGAACACAGGATTTCTTCTTAATTGTATGCTTGGGAGCTGCAACTGCTTCACAAGGTGCTTCTGAGCACACACTGAGATCCCTCTATCCTGAGAGCTGAGTGACATGAAAACCACAACATCATCAAGACTGGGAGCAGTCAGCTCCCCACATCAAGCACCCAATTAGCTGTTATTCTTTGGCAAAATATGCTCAGCAGCTGATCCAGTCATCCTCAGCGCTTTGATTTCAGAAGCTTTAGAAATACCTGGGAGTTACTTGAAATGTGGCAGTATTCGAAATACAAAAGATAAGGAAGAAGCATTTCACAGCCAGGCAGCAAACTGTAGAATTTGACGGCAAAGACATTGAAGGTTATATCAAATTCCCTCCACGTCAGTGTTTTGAATAACTAAGCACGTTAGCCAGTTTTTTGCTCAGCACTTCGCTTTATCAATAAAAAGGAGCATTCACAAAGAATCAATATCTAAAGCACATCGAGCAACTGCTACACTTTTATGATTTCCTCGATGCTGAGTGTGAACAAAGGAAACCTCACCACGACACTTTTGAAAGGCACCAATGAACGCTGACAACCAAATTGATACCATTTTTTTCCTTACAAAAAGTATAATGAGCTCTTGGGTCACCTTCAAAATATGGTTACGTTCTTTCCCTGGAGTAGAATTACTGTAGGATCAAGTGACTGAAAAGGCGAGGAGAGGCAATAAAATGATTGCTCAGCAGGACAAGTGTGGCGCTGCCGTCCGCCTGCGCCCCCGCCCACAGCAAGGTCATGGAAATTCAGCGCGAGCCCGAGCGGTTCTCCAGCCGCAGCCCCTGGCCGGCATGATCCTGGCACTTGCCGGTGTTTGTCTGACAGCTGCGCGCGCTGCGGCCAAAGCTGCAGTCAGTGACCTGCCCAGTTCTGCAGAGGAAGGCTCGCCCTACGATTTCCCACTGATTCAGGAGGTCAAGTAAGAATTCCACCCTTGTCTTTAAATAGTCTTGGCTCCAACAAGCTAATGTGGGGGAGGATTTGGGAGTGCACCTGTGTGTGCCTGGCAGGGACACGCAGGCCTCCAGTTGCTGCTGGGGGGGACTGCGCTAGCTGCCTGCAAGTGACACCGGTACCGTCTGCGAGCAAGGGTTCAACAGAGGAGCTCACGCACAAATGTGCTGATGGACTGTGGTATCTGATGATAACAGCAGGAATTGGCTTCATTCTGTTATGATGGGAAAATTGACTCTGGGGTCTGTTGGGAAAAACCACTTGCTCCTATGAATGAGTTATATGGACCCCTTTAGAGCAGCTCTTTAAAAAGTGAGTTTCTGCAGTAAATTTGCCTATGCTCTGAACTTGAGAATGAGCTACTCACTGCCTCAGCTGCTCTTTCTGAGAGGGGCGAGGGAATGAGCAGGGGGAATTAGGATTCAGTTGCTGCAATGAATGAAGGGTTTGACGGGTCCATCCCAACTGTGTTCTTTGCTTACTGTTCTTTGGTTACTGACACTCGGGCTCAGTCAAGTCCACACCATACAGCGTGTTGTTCTTTGCTTCTGTGTCTCCGTAGCAGAAATCACAACTTGCTGCACACGTGGGTCTGTCCCCTTCACTAAGCTGTGAGCTCCTGGGAGAAGGAGCAGGCTGTGGTTCCTCCTGGTCCCAGCCCAGTGCCCGGACTAGAGAAGGTACTACGAAATATAAGTTTAGTGGAACTGAACTAAGAGAATTAAGAAGAAGTTATACAAGCCTTGATATTGTTTACTATAATTCTGTAGATCCCTGACCTGAAGGTACTGAGTTTTCTTCACTGTCATCTTTTCATTCTAATTCTTTTCAGAAATATTAATGTATTTGGGCTCTTGGCTGCTACCCTAGCAATCAGGTCCAACGATCTTTGGTGTGGGAACACTGTCATCGCTTTTCCTGGTGTTTAGTAGAGACAGGGTCTCATTCTTGCTCAGGCTGGTTTGGAACTCTTGACCTTGAGCGATCCTTCCACCCCGACCTGCCACCCAGAGTGCTAGGATTACAGGCGTGAGTCACCGCACCCAGCCCTTCTCTGAATTTTGAAATGGTAATTACTTTTTGTGTGGCTTGTCTAGGCCTTACCTCTTCTTCCCTGCCTCTGGGACATTTTTGGCCAAATTATCCCAGTTAGTAGCTTATCTATGAGAGGGCAGTTATAGTAAACGAGAAGAAGTAGCATAAGAATGTGATCTTTTCTAGCAAAGAGGTTCGGGGATGTGCCGATGGGTGGAGAGGACTGGAAGGAAGGTCGAAACTACACATTAACATTGGTTCATGTTTATTATCTGAACGCCATCATGCTACCTCTGTTACTCACCACCAGACATCAACATGAGCAGTGTATTACTGTACAGCCATTTGAGAGAAAAAATTCTATGATCGTTCCCCCAGAGCTCCAGGGGAAAGCACTGCCTGTTTTGGTCGTTGGCGACAGAGCACAGCTCTGGCTTGCTTTTTGGTCCCAAATAATGCTTGTTTGAGGAACACGTCTTGCTGCTGCCACCTGGCCACCGGTTGCCAGTACAAGGTAGAAACCATCTGAAACCAGGTGGTTCCAACACCTCACACCATGCTTGGCACACAGTACACACTTAGCAAATACTAGACTTTTGAATTACATTGAATTCAGACCTGCTGTCCACTCCTCCGAGAGCTGGGTCTCGCTACTTCTCAGAAGACTCAGAGCAGTTAGTTCTCTTTGGAGAAAAACCAAAGGCCGGTTTGAATTTATGTATAGCATGAGATGAACATGTGACATTATCCTGGAGGTTATTAGGAGCATACAAGGTTAAGACAAACACCTGCCTAGGATGAAGGTTCCACAACGACTTAGCAAACATTAACAAGAGCACTGACAGACACTAACGACAAGAGTAGAAAGTTTAGACGAGAGAAGTACCCCAGTTGACAGTCCAGGGAGCTGGCTCCCGTCCGTGCCTGCGGTGCCCGCGTCAGTTGTGTTTTTTGTCCTTCAGGTAGCTGAAGAGCATCTCCAGGCCCCCCTCCACCAGCTCCGGCAGGGGCTTGGCCAGAGGGTTGTGGGAAATGTGCAGCCCTTTGTCCATGGGGTTCCACGCGATCTTGGCCAGTCCGCGCAGCAGGTACAGCTCGTCCGGCAGGGTCTGGATGTCGTTGTTGTTCAAGTTCAGCAGCTCCAGGCTCGTGAGGAGGCAGAGCGACCTGGGGAAGGAGTGGATGTTGTTGCTCTCCGCGATGAAGATCTGCAGGCTGGCCAGGCACTGGATGCTCTCGGCGATGTTTTCCAGGCGATTGGAGCCCACGTGCAAGAAATCCAGCTCCTTCAGCGAGAACACACAGATGGGGATGTGAGCGAAATAGTTGTTGCTGACGTTCAGCTTCCTCAGCCTGGAAAGGTCTGCGAAGCTGGCGGGCAGCTGGGACAGGCAGTTGTGCGACAAGCTCAGCACTTCCAGGCTCCTGCACAAGCTCAGCTCGGCCGGCACCTCGGCCAGGCAGTTCATGTTGAGGAACAGGACCTTGAGGCTCTGCAGGAGGCTGAGCTCCCGGGGCAGGCTCCTCAGGTGGTTCCCGCACAAGTTCAGGACCACGATCCGCGTCAGTTTCCCCACCTCGGGAGGGAGGACCCGGAGCTGATTGTGAGACAGATTGAGTTTCTGGACCTCAGACAAGCCCCACAGAAAGTCGGGGATGTCTGTCATTCCTTTGGTGACCAGGCTGAAGCTGACGTGGCGCATGCCCCGCTTCAGCAGAGACCGAGGGTCCCTTCCCGAGAGCAGGGTGTCGTCCCACGGAGAAAACTTCTGTCTCCTCCCCAGGAGCAGCATCCTCTTGGAGCCCTTGTCCCTGGAGCTGGCCCGTGACTGCCTGGCCCCCATAGCGCCTTCCCTCCCGGGCGCTCCCCTCGGCCACCTCCGAGGCGGGGATTTCGTCCTGCCCGGGCTGTGGCAGGCAGGGCGCGCGTGCAGAGAGAGGAACAGAGTTGTGGCCGGGAGATCCCAGCGTGGAGAGAGCTAGCAGCAGAGTCTCGGCCCGGCCTCGCAGGTGTCCCAGGCGGGCTCCTGGGTGGCTGCAGAAGCTGCGCTTGTCGCTTGTCCCTGAGGATGGGTTTAGGTGGTTTCTTTCCGAGCAGCCGGGCTGTAATGATATACTCTCCCTGAGGCTGCAGAACAGAACTGCTCGGTTCCCTCTGAATGCCACAAGGCAGCTGTCACTGTCATTCTGCCTGAGTTTTATTGACCTGGTATGTGCAAACAGGTCACAGGGAGGCTGCATATAACTTTACCCTCTCAGCTTTTCTTGGGTATCACAGTTGAGCAGGGTGATTAACAAGCCCATCTCTAAAAAGAAGTAAAGTGGAAAAATAAAGCCGGCCACACAAACACCGCTCTGTCTGCATAATCGCCGGAACTCAGCCGGACAACTTTAGAGTAACCGGGCTAGATACTAGTGACGGAGTTATGTTTCCAAAGCTAAAGATCATCAGACAACATCGTACGTGCCTGCTGCAAACTTTGGTGAACTGTGTATTTGCAAAAAAATAACAAAAGTATCCTGCACACCTGGGGTCCCGCAGGCCAGAGGGTTTTATACTGCGCCTGTCCGAGGTGATTTAGTGAGGAGCCCGTGGGAGGAGGGGTCTGGACCTCCGGCTCCATTTCAGCCAAGGGAGCTTGGGCTCATCATAAGGTAAGCACGGGCACCCCCCGTCCTGGAAAGACAGTGTGATGGGGCCTCCCTACCTACACATCATTCCTCTCCCCACAATTTCTTTTCCTTGAATTAAAAAAGTTAGCGTATACCTTAAGTTTGCAGACTTAATCGCTGGTGTTATGAGCTGATCTTTGTCTCCCCTCTTCCAAATTTCATACGTTAAAGTCTCACCTTTAGAACCTCAGAGTGTGACTGGGCCTGGACGCGGGGCCAGGCAAAGGCAGGGGAAGACAGCCATCTGCGAGCCAAAGGAGAGGCCGCAGAAGAAACAGGCACTTGGTCTCAGACTTCTAGCCCCCAGGGGTGTGAGAAAAATGCATTTCTGTTGTTTAAGCCACCCAGTTTCTTTACAGCAGGCCTGGCAAACCAATACAGCTGGAGGCAGGCACATTTACATTGCAGAGAAAAATCCTTAAAACTGGCAGATTAAGGGGAGAAGGAATGTCAAGGTGAAGACCTAGGTTCTGAGAAAACGCCCCGTGGTCCACGTGAGGGCTGGCTTAGCCCAGAAGTGTGTGGCTTTTGCTGGCAGTGGTCTTGCTGGGGCACAGCCCTGGGCACGACAACTGTGTATCCTGGAGAGCCGTGCTGCTGTGACCCTACCGCACAGGCTGTCATCACCACCCAGGAGCTCCAGCTGGCCCCGCCAGGGACCTGCATGTCCCTCCCAGGAGGAATAGCAGGAGGGAGGCCACTTCCCTCTCCACGCGAGTTAGAAAGAAACCCCTTTCCACTGTGCAAGCCCAGGGATGCCTGGACAAAGGTGGAGACTTTGAACACTTTGTATGGAGCACTTGAGTGTTCTACCTATTAATTGGAGGAAAAAAAGTAATGTGGCTAAATTTGTACCCCAAGTTTTGAGAGCAGCCCATGCCTTATATATATAAATTTCATATGACAATATGGTTTTGCTGTTAAAAACAAAAATAAAAAGGAAAAATTAGGTCAAATGATGTGGCTCACACCTATAATCCTAGCATTTTGGGAGGCCAAGGCAGGAGAACGCTTGAGGCCAGGAGTTCAAGACCAGCCTAGGCAACATAGTCCAACCCCATCCTTACATTTGAAAAAGTACAAAAAATTAGCTGGGCTTGGTGGTACATGCCTATAGTCCCAGCTGCTTAGGAGGCTGAGACAGGAGGATCACGTGAGCCCAGGAGTTTGAGGTTGCTGTGAGCTATGATCGGGCCACTGCACTCCAGCCTGGGCAACAGAGAGAGATCTTGTCTTCCAAAAAAAAAAAAAAGTTAGCTATGCTTACTCATTGTTTCCATGAGCATGAGAAATTATGCTAGAGTAACTGAAATATGAGGAATAGCAAAAGCTGGGATGGTTTAAGAACAAATTCACAGCTTTGTTTTTTGTGGTGATTATCTTTCTTTCTTTCTTTTTTTTTTGAGACAGAGTGTCGCTTTGTTGCCCAGGCTAGAGTGAGTGCCGTGGCGTCAGCCTAGCTCACAGCAACCTCAAACTCCTGGGCTCAAGCAATCCTTCTGCCTCAGCCTCCCCAGTAGCTGGGACTATAGGCATGCGCCATGCTCAGCTACTTTTTTCTATGTATTCTTAGTTGGTCAATTAATTTCTTTCTATTTATAGTAGAGACAGGGTCTCGCTCTTGTTCAGGCTGGTTTCGAACTCCCAACCTTGAGCGAACCACCCGCCTTGGCCTCCCAGAGTGCTAGGATTACAGGTATGAGCCACCACGCCTGACCTCCTCAGTATGTTTTTTTCCAATAAATACTTGAGCACTTACATTGCTAGCCAACATTCATCAGATGTTTATTATGTGACAGTCACTGTACTAGGCACTTCACATGCAGATGGGTATAAAAATGATCTTCGTTTTACAAATGAGTAAAGGTCCAGTTACGTATGCAAAATCAAGTCACTTGCCCAAGGTCAATGACTTGTCAATGGCAGAACCAGGATTCAACCCCAGATAGTCTGGCTCTGCAGCTAGTAACCGCCTCCAGGCGCTAGGCGGCCGGGCTGGTGGGGACGCAGGTAAGGAAGTGACTGTACATCTCGCGCGTGGAAAGAACTACCCGATTAGGCATTGACCCTGCTTGCTCTGCCCCAACACAACTAGGAAGAGCGAAAGTTGAAAGATCATTGCAGAAAACTTTGGAGTAATGGATTTAATGCCTCCAAAAACAGTTCAGGTCTTCTCAGTTCAGGTGTTCTCCAGTGAGGTTTTCATATATCAAATTGATGCACTGTGTGACTAGCTGACTTGGTTGGTTCTAATTTTTTGAAATGTAAATACTGCCCACTTAGTGAATCGTGGTCATCCGGTCGGCAGGTAGTTCACTGAGAGGATACTCATCTCTGGGTCTTAGTTTGTTCATCTGTGAAACGGGCTGTGTGGGGGGGAGGAAGGCCCAGAGCCCCCTCCCCCCTCCCAGTCTGATTCTCGCCACAGATGAGGCCACTGGTGAGGAACACGACGTCATGTTTAACCTCTTTTCTGCTGAAAGCATGAGAAATCCAAGACAGCTTTGATTTTGGTAGCTCTGATATTGGTCCTAAGGAATAAACAGTAACGGGGGATGCTTTTGGCTTTAGGATTCGCTATATTATATAGACCACACATTTGACTTTTGCCAAGAGATTTTTCAGGGCTCTCTGACTGGATTTCAGCTCACGTAAGTCTCAGAATGAAGCACGGTCGGACAAGTTTTTGAAATTCCAGGGCATCATAAGTAACATGATTGTCTTTAAAACCTAAGGAACCTACAGAATAATTGAAATGTATTAATATGCCCAATGTGTTTAATGCATGTCTGTATCTTTCAATTGATTGTTTTAACATATGAAAATCAACATTGATTATTTCCTTAATCCTAAGCATATAAAACTGAAATGATGAGAGTGTAAAATAGCAAGTTATGAAAACATCTCGAGCTACTCCTGAATTCACACTAATGGAATATCTATTAAAACAATTCTTTTTATTCTCACTACTACTTTTCAACTTACAACTACACATCATGTCTGTTAATTTTAGAAGGAAGAAATGAATGTGTATGTTCAAGTAGTTCATTAAAATAAACATCTTACTGATTAAAATTTTTAAAAATAGAAAAAAGTATAAAGAGAAAATCCAGTTAACATTTTGCATCTGTACAGCTGGCTCTTTTTTCCTTTGCGTATCTATTTCAATGTTTTAGCCAAAAAAAAAAAAAAAGCAAAACTTCTAAAAAATCTGTCTTAGCCCAGGTTTCCTCAAAAGCAGAGCTTGAGACAAAAGCTCACTGAGGAGCCCAATCTCAGGGAAGCAAGAGTGGCGGGGATGCGGGAGGTAGCACGAGGAGAGAGCACACAGGGATGCGGGAGGTAGCACGAGGAGAGAGAGCACACAGGGATGCCTTCTGAGAGCCTGTTGCTGGGTTTTGCAGATGTCTGCAGAGAGGCTGTGTTAAACCACTGTGGCTCCAGATGGTCCACAGTTAAGCATGGACTACAAAATGCATTGCAATGTAAAACCCAAAGTACATAGCTAGATTTCCTAAGCCATGGTTATTGGTGGTATATGACCCATGGTACAGTGATGGCACAAGGTAGGAACCCAGTAAATGGTAGTTGTTCTAGAAATGGTAGTGTGTTAGACTGTTTTGCATTGCTATGAAGAAATACCTGAGGCTGGATAATTTATAAACAAAAGAGGTTTATTTAGCTCGCAGTTCTGCAGTCTGTACGAGAAGCATGGCGCCAGCATCTGCTTCTGGTGAGGCCTCCAGGGAGCTTCCAACCAAGGCAAGGTGAAGGGGAAGCTGTTGTGTGCCATGGGGACAGAGGGAGCAAGAGAGGGAGGAGGTGGTGCCTGGCTCCTTTTAACAACCAGCTCTTGCCTGAACTCTTACTAATAAAACCAGAACTCCATCAACACCGCAGAGAGGGCACCAAGCCATTCATGAGGGATCTGCCCCTGTCACCCAGACACCTCCCACCAGGCCCACATCCACCACTGAGGACCATATTTCACCATGAGATTTGCAGGGGTGGGACATCCAAACTGTACCAGGCAGTTAGTTATTCTACACGCACGCCCCTGGAGGCAAGCATTCACTGAACATTCTCCATGTGTTCGATTTTTATTTTGTCCTTGTTTATGAGCTTTCCATTTTCTTCAAGGCCAACCAAACCTATAACTACGAGGCATCCCTCATTCATGTTCCATCCTTCCTACTTATACGGAGCATTTCGTTAGTGCCAGGAGCTGTTTCCGGCACTTTTAGATGTTGTATGTGATACTCCTAAGACTCGTGAGGTTGATATTTTCAATCTCATGTTAAATACGAGAAAGTGGAGCTTCCCTGAGGTTAAAGGACTCTCCAGGTTACGAAACTAGTTAGCACCAGCATCAGGAGCAAAACCAGGCCTTCTGGTTCTGGCCCTGGTTCTCCTT